TTAGAGCGTGGTGTCATAACACCAAGGTCCAGGGTTCGGATCCACTGCCTGCCAGCCGCCCGAATAAATATTTTTTAAAAAGAAAATATGAGAATATTTTTATGACTTCCAGGCACAACTGGATTCTTTAGGACAAAAAGCATAATTTTAAAATTTTATAAAATTTGATACACAGGATTCCAGAAAAAAATTTCAATAAGAAAATGACTGTTAAAAGGCCATAGGCAAAAACCCACGTATATTTCCACAAGGATGTAGACACATTGAACAGTTTCACTAATAAAAATAAGTACAGCAATATTCGTATCAGACAAAATGGAACTCAAGGTTCATTTCTCCTAAGCAGAACATCTCACAGGAATAAAAAGACGACTCCCAGGAAGCCCACATTCGTCAGGGCACACTACCAGCAGCACCCAGACGCAAAGCAAGGGAAGCGAGCCACAGGGAGGACCACTCGCTGCCCGCGTCGGGACGGGGAACTCGCCCAGAGGGAACTAAGCAGGCAGCCGACAAAGGAACCGCAGCTCCACGGAGAAAACCTGACCGGCCAGCGCCCCCTGCCCCGCAAGACTCAGGCTCACTAGCAGAGAGCGGGGGGGAAGCACAAGTTCAGTAATCAGACGCTCACCAACCTGACGTGCAGCCCCGGGGGCTGTGGGAAAGGCCAGCCTGAGGGCCTGGCTCAGGTCGCCCACTCCGCTGCGGGGCGCCCGGGGCCGCCTCCAGGGACGCAGGGTCTGCCAGGAAGGCTCAATACCCGCTGAGCCGAGGTGCTACGGCAGGTCGCTGGGCCCCGAGGGACACAAGAGCCCCACTCCCGGCCGTCTCCCCTCCGCCTCCCCCAGTCGCCCCAGAAACCACACCGAGACAGAGGTGCAGACGGCCGCAGCCGGCGTGATGCGCGCTAGGCGGGCAGCAGCCCGTGCACGCGCAGCTCAAGCAGCGGGGACAGCACGTAGCGCAGGCGGCGGAAAGCGGCGTCCGAGCCGAGGCGCGGGAGCCCCCAGCGGATGGCGNATCTCGATACCTGCGGGGGCGGGTATCGAGATGGGCGATCTGCCTCGGCCCCACAGTCTCCCTGCTGCGTTCAACAGTCCTAACTCCCTTACGGTTCCGGGCCGCCACGCGAGGCGTCCAGCGCAGCCGCCGCCTCCATCACCTTCCCCTGCAGCTCCTAGAGGGGGTGGGAGTGAGGACTCAGGCTGCGGGAGGAGGCGGGAGTCCGGGCCCCGCAGGGCTAGCGGAGGAGGAGTGGAGGCCGCAGTGTCGTCGGAGGTGGCGGCTCTGAGGGAGGAGGGGGCGCACCTGCAGGACCCCGCTCTGTTCCTGGAAGCTGGCCCAGTCCTCTTCCTTCCGCTGCGCGCTCTAGGATGAGAAGAGCTCTGATTGGACTAGGGGGACACACCCCTCCGCACTCTCCTAGACCTGGCCAGGTCCCACCCACACAAGAGGCCGATCCTCCCACAAAACCCCGAATCGGCCCGCACCTGCCGCAGGCTCTCCGCCTGCATAGCGTACTTGGCCTCCACCAGCTCCAGCTGCTTCTTCGGGAGGAACCAAAGCATGTCAGAAGCCCGTTACGCGCGCACCCTGCCGCGCCTCAGCGCCCACGCCCCTGCCGCTCCGCCCCTACCCCGGTCCTCGGGGCCCCGCCCAAGCACCTGCAGCGCCGCCAGCTGGGTCTCCTGCAGTTGCTGCTCCGCGCGGTGCTGACTCAGCTGCTCCCCTCCGTAGTAGAACAGCTGAGGGGTGGGGCTTGTGAGGGCGGGGCTTACGGGGCTTCTAGAGGCTGTGGGGTGTCCTGCAAGGAGGGGACGGGGCGGAAACGGGGACGGGGACCAGAGCAGGACTGCAGAGAAGGACGGAGGCTTTCCCATCCCCTACACGTACCTGACTGGACAGCTCTTCCCATTGCTCCTGCAGCTGTCGGTTGTGTTGCTCCTGCGGACAGGGTCGAGGGGAATATCCAGGCCTCTCCAGGGGCCCCGCCCCCTCCCTCGGCCCCGCCCAAAGCCGGCCAGCACCCCACCATGTCCTGCTTCTGCCGCTCCGCCGCCTCCAGCTGTCCGCGCGCCCTCTCCGCGCTCTCCCGCGCTGCCTCGCGCGCCTCCCCTCGAGGAGCTCGCGCCGCCTGGCTTCGCCTCCGCTTCAGGCTGCAGAGGGAAACTGAGGCCGGTGCTACGGCGGTGGCGGCGGGCGAACAGGATCCCCGGGTACCCGGGAGGGACCAGCTGCGGGCTTGGGGTCGGGGCCGGGGAAGCCCTCGCCGGGTCCCTGGGGAGCCAGTACCATCCTTCCCCTCCCGGGTCCCCTGGGTGTATCTCCCCGGTCCTAATGGCATAGAGCGCAGGTGTGGTCCCGGGGGCGTCAGCGAACACTCTGTGAGTCCCCCAGCGCCGCCACCCACAGGGCCAACCCTTGCGCTCCCTCCTGCCCCTCGGGCCTAGAGCCCCACACACCTGCGCTCGCGCTCGCGCAGGTCGTGCAGGCGCCCGGTGAGGTTCTCGCTCTCGGCCTCTAGCCCGCGCACCAGCTCTTCCAGCTCCTGCTTCCGTAGGCGACCATCGCGGTTGTCTTTCTGCAGCTGCAGCAGCAGCTCTTTCATCTCGGCCATGGCTCCCAAGGCTCGGCCGGGAAACCGCCTGCTTCTGCCAACCGGCCTGTGGCCGGCGTCACAATGGACGACAGGGGGCGCCCGAGCGCAGCCTCCCCCCACCCCCCACCAAGCCGGGCAGACGTGAGTCGGGCAGGATCATATACTTAGTCCATCATCTACAGTTTTTTCAAAGAGCCACAATCGGACCAATAAAACATTAATAAAATAATGCCTGAGGCAGGAAAATTGAGGCGATTGGCTCCCCCACATTGCAGCTGGCACTTCCAAACCGATCAATCTCTCTTGTGGAAAAGACTTGGAAATATGTATCAGGATCCATTAATATGTTTATATCTTTTGACCCAATTATCCCACTCCTGGGAATTTATCCCAGAAAGAAATTTTTTTTGTTGTTGTTTTAAACCCACTGCAAGGGCTGGCTGCTTAGCCTTGTAACCCCAAGGTCAAGGGTTTGGATGCCTGTACAGCAAAAAAAAATAAATAAATAAAATATACCCACTCCAGTAAATCATTAAATGGTTCATTGAAGCAGTTACAGAAACCACAAAAAAGGAAACAATTGTAATGATTGAAATGATGTATTTGAATATTATGTGGCATGCATAGAGCTACAATGCTGTCCAGAGAAAAGTAGAATATGATTTAGTATTTATGTTAAGATAACTAAGATATAATGCTCATGGGAAAATCTATAAAGGAAACAGGAGAAAGACAAGCTATTTCATTATCATGTGAGACTGCAGGTAAACTTGTCCTTTTAAAACCTGACTTTATTTGGCCAATTTCAATTATGAACTTGGATGCAAAAATTCAAAATAAATTATTAGCTAACAAAGGGGTAACAGAAAAAGATACATGGAAAACAAGCAGAGCTATTTCAAGGATTGTTCAGGATTAGAAAATCAATTTCATTCACCACATAGGCAGACAAAAGGTGGAGATGCTGAAAACATGATTAAGTTCAGCATCTAGTGATAATTTTTAAAGCTCTTATGAAAGAGGGATAGAAAGGACTCCTTAAACTGATAAAGACTACTTAATAAAAAGGTGCAGTAAACATAGTAAGGATGCCTTGTACTGGCCAGTTGCCAAAAAAAAAAAAAAATAAATAATTAATAAGGAGGAAGTACTAGCAGCATACCTTTTAAGATTTTAAGAAATGAGAGATACCCTCTTGCTAAGGTCTAACATAGCACTGGAGGGCCGCAGAGAAGCAAGAGAACTAGGAAAGCTTGGAGAATATTCCTGGAAGTGCTGCAGACACCTTGTAACCATGAGGGGCCTAAAAGAGCGAGTCATTCTGCTCTATCTTGTAAGTCTCTTTTGGGGGGAGCCTTTCACAGACTTTCCCTCACCTCGTACGAGCCAGAACTAGGGCACGTGCTTGTTCCTCGGACAGCCACCAGCAAGTAGGAATGGGAACCAAGACTAAGGCAGGCGGCAAGGTGGCTGTTGAGGAGGCATCCTCATGACCACGGGACAAATGGTGCTGGGAAAACTGGCTCATGACAAAAAGAGGAATAAAATTAGACAGCTGCTTTACACTCAATATAAAAGGTAACACCTGAAGGATCAGAAACTTACATGGGGAAGCTGTTATACTTGGGACTTTGGAATGGGGAAAGATTTCTTAAGCACAACACAGCAGGCACAACCTGTGGAGGGAAAGCTCGTGCACTGAATTACATCAAACTTAGGGGTTTCTGCTTATCAAAAGACACTGTGGTGAAGGTAGTGTTCTCTACCTTGATTGGAGGTTGAGTACCTGGCTGCACACATTAGTCAAAACTTGTTGAACGGACTGACCACTTAAGAGGTGCCCATTTTATTCTATGTCATTATATCTAAATTAAAAACAATCCACTTGGAACAAAAAGACACCACAGACAGATTTTACAAATGGGTGACAGAATGGGAAAAGATCTTTTCAATAAGATGAGAATGTATAAATATAGAATATATGAGAAATCCTGACGCCACTCTTAGAAAGACCAAAAACCAAAGGGAGGGAGGGGCTCTTGGATCTGATGTGGCAACCTAGACAGCAGTCCTTTAACACTCGACAAGAGGAAGAGAAACTCTGCTCTTTACCTCCACCAGAGCAGCCAAAATGAAGATGTTCGCTGACATCAAATCTAAGCAATGAGAAATTAAAAAAAAAAAAAAAATCTAAGCAATGATGTGAGAGAACAGGGACCCACGCACACGGCCACCAGCACTATCCGTGTGGGCCATTTGAGGGATCAATTGTGAACAATTGGTGACTGTGTATGGTCACGTCCATGACCTGCAATCCACTACAGGGTATACGCCCCAGAGGAACTTTCTTAGATGTTCACAAAGACACAGATTTATAAGAAAAAAGCACTGGGGACAGCCTAAATGCTCCACCAATGCCAGGGAATTGAAAAGTGAAATGTGGGGCCGGCCCGGTGGC